CGGGTCCGGGGTGCAGGGCCAGGTTCGGGGTGCGGGTCCGAGTCGAAGGTGCCGGGTGCGGCTCCGGGTGCGGGTCCGGGAGCCGCCGCCGTTGCCGGCAGCTCTCTGCCTCTCTCTAGCGGCTTCTCCCCGCAGAGCCGGCCCGGACCCGCGGCTCCGCACAACCGGCTGCGGGCAGCCCAGTGCCTCCCAGTTTCGGTCCAGTGCCTCCCAGTTCGGCCCAGTGCCCTGGGGCCGGAAGGAAGGAAGGAGGGATGGATAGGGGACGGGATGGAGGGATGACAGGGAGGAAGGAGGGATGGCGGGATAGAGGGAAGGATGGAGGGATGGAGGGAAGGACAGAGGGATGGAGGGAGCTTCGCTCCCGGGATTCACCGGCAATTCCCGTCCGGGAGCGCGGCGAGGCCGAGCTGAGGGGGAAGATGGAATTGAAGCCGCGGGGCCATTAACCTGCTGCCCTGGCCCAACTCCAGCTGCAGTAATTACATTCGCCCTGATTAAAAATTTCCCCTTCATTTTCAATTAGCTTCACCGTTCTTCTTCGCTTCCTCCCCGAACGCGGGTGGCCTCGCGCTGCGGCCCCCTTTCTGCGGGGGGTGGAAACTGAGGCAGGGAGCTGGGGGTGGGGGGTGAGTGGGTGCTGACGGGGTCCCACAGGTATCGCAGGGTGTTTTAGGGGCTCGCTGGGTACCTGTCGGGTACTCGCCGAACATCACCGTGTACGTGGGGGTGTCCCTGGGGGTCCTCTCCAGGGCAGGGGTGGTACCTATAGGGCACCTACACTCACGGGGTGTAGCACTGTACCCCCAAGTTATTGCATCGCACTTGCAGGGCGTTATACAGTGCCTATGAGCCCCCCCCAGCTTCGTGCTCACCCCCTCATGTGACCCCTTCACCCCCCCGTGCCGTGCGGCACGCGAGCAAGCTTCCAGCCGTGGGCAGAACCCACGGTGGGCTTGTGCTGGAGCCCGGGGGGGCTCTGGGGATGGAGGATGCTGAGACATCACCCTTGATCCCGATCCCAAGATTTTGCCCCGCTGGGATGGGAGGAAAACAACCCCCCTCCCCAAGCCAAGAGGAGCCTCCAACTCAAACCCCATAAATAACACCCCCCCCAAAACCTCGGGGGGCAGCGAGCAAAGCCTCCAGCCCCCCACATCCCTATAAATATCGCGGGAGAAAACAGCCGCCTCCGAAGGCTTCCTGGGAAGGGCCGTAAATTACCCCGAGCTTTTCACGTGGTCACAGACACTGCCGGGGGAGGAGGAGGAGGAGGAAGGCCAAGATGCCCATTTATTCCTGGGGATGGATCTGAAGCCTTCTGCTTCCTTTAATTCCTCTCTTCTCCTTGGGTTTTTCCCTTTGTTTTTTTCTTTTATTTAAAGTAATTCAATAAAAAAAAATGTAACCTGCCGTGCAGGGGGCTGAGCAGCCTCAGCCCCCCCTAGCTCCAGGGGCTCTGGTGCTGCCAAATCCATCTCCCTCCATCTAAAGAGAACCTAGGAATGAGGAGAAAAAAGGGAATAAACCAGCTGTTTCCCACTGGGAATGTCCAGCAGGCAGAAAAAAAAAAGGGATTTTTTTTAACCCAAACCCACCCAGGTGAGCATGCAGTGCCGGCAGAGCCTGGGGGGGTTATCTGTTCTGTCGTTCCAGCCATCCGTCTGTCCGTCCAGCTGGTTGTCTGTCTCTCCTGGTGTTTATCTTTCCATCTCTCCGTCTTTTGGATTACCCTGCAGAGCATCCGCTCCCCCACCCTGGCCCCAGCCCTTTATCTCCCCGCCTGTCTCTGCATCTCTTTATTTTTCTGTCTGTCTGTCTGTCTGTCTGTCCCACATTAATGGTCCCTGTCTGACAGCTGAGGAGGATGAACCCGTTCAGGATCAGCCCAAAAGGTGCTGAGCCGGCCCCCGTTTCCTCTTAAATCAACTCAAACCTTTGTAATTAAATAAAAATCTCCCTTTGCCCCTTTTCTCCCCAAATCTGAGATGGAAACACCAGGAAGAGCCATTGGACCTGCCCTTTCTCAAGGCGTCCTCCAAGGCGGTGAAGCTCAAGGAAACACGGATGGCTGCTCCCGCGCGTGGACAGACGGACACAGGACCTCGGCCCCGGCTCCAGGGCTGCTGGCACTGAGACACCCTGTCCCTGTCCCATCCTTCCCCACCACGGCTGCCCCATCCATGTGTCACGATCTGCCCGCACACCCATCCATCCGCCTGTGCATCCCTCTGTCTGTCCACACATGAATCCATCCATCCATCCATCCATCCGCGTATCTGTATTTTTTTGCAACTCTGGATATCAGTAAGTGCCAAAACTCCCCCTCTGCTACACCCGCTGTCTGAGCCAGGTGGGAGCCCGGCGGGAGCCACTCCTTCCCTCCCTCCCTCCCTCATCCCTCTCTCCATGCATCCCTCCATCCCATTCCTCCATCCCCACCTCATCCTTCCATTCCTCCTTCCCTGCCTCCTCTCTCCCTCCATCCCTCTCTCCATCCCTGTCTCACCCCATCCCTCCTTCCCTGCCTCATCCTGCCATCCCATCCGTCCCTTCCTCCCTGCCTCCCATCTCTCCTTTCCTCCCTTATCCCTCCATCCCTCCTTCCCTGCCTCATCCTTCCATCCCATCCATCCCATCCCTGCCTCACCCCTCTCCTCACACATCCCTCCATCTGATCATCCATCCCTCCTCTCTCCCTCCATCCTTCCATCCCTACTTCCCTGCCTCATCCCTCCCTCCTTCTCTCCTTCCATCCCTCCATCTCCAAGGCTGACACACACACACCGGTGACCATGTCGGAGCTGCTCCTCGGATATTGGGGTGCCAGCCAAGAGCCCCCTCCCATTCCCAACACCTTCCCCTTCTTCACAGTCACCCTTCATCAGGCTCTGTCCGGGAAATGACCGATTCCCAACTCCAAAAAGTCTCCGATATCCAAACACTCACTTGGTGTCGAAGCGCGGCGGCAGCTGAACGTGACAATCGCCTTGAAATACGGCTGCATCCAGCCCTCCGGAATGGCGGGACCGCATTCCCTGTAAAAAAATTATTTATTAGGAACTTTTAGTTCTTAAGTGGCAGAGTGATTTAGTGCTGGCGGCTGCCGCCGGCCCTGGGAACGCCGGCTCGGGCGGCACGACTCGGGTCGCGGGGAAAAGCTGCCGGGGCGGCGGCGGGCGGCGTGGGGACGTAAAACTGTCACCGGGGGCTTAAATCAGGGATTGCGGG